TGTATATTGTCCTATATTTTAAAAGGTCAAGCAGAATGGTCTAGGTAATTATGTAGTAGGTTACCTGATGGTAATTCCAAGCAAAATAAGGGAAAAGATGATACAGGATTAAATTGACATAGAATTAAATAATTAGCAATAAGGGAATATGATCTGATTTGGTTAGAATTATACATTTGGTTTAGTAATTTTGCAACGTAGTAAATTTTTGTAAGTTATTTAACTTAGTACCGCATAACTTTCTGATTAAAAACATTAGGTATGCTTTTTTTAATAGATTAAAAAGTGGGCAACTATTATCTTCACAGTCAGGGAGGCTAGGATCTGGAACCGACTTCCAAGGGAAGTGGTGCTGGCTCCTACCCTGGGGGTCTTTAAGAAGCGTCTTGATGCCTACCTGGCTGGGGTCATTTGAGCCCAGTTTTCTTCCTGCCCAGGCAGGGGGTCGGACCTGAAGATCTACAAGGTTCCTTCCGACCCAACTTCTATGATTCTATGATCTCTAAAAATATACAACCCCCACCATCAATCGGGAATTGTTAATAACTGCACTATGATGCATATGCCCCAGAAGGAAAAATTAAAGGTTCCACGGGCAACCTTCATTCTGGCATTTTCTGCCTTCTGAGTGCTTGATTTTTTTGCAATCTTAATATTCTTTGAACATGGAATATATGCATGTGGATGAGATAAATACTACCACATACTTTGCCATCATATGTAATGAATAACTACATCTGCCAAGTACAATTGAGATGACAAACAGCTAGGGTAAGTATATGGTGGCTCTGAATACTGACATTAGTGTAGTTCCTTTGGGTTTATTATTTTCTTCACTAATTTGTATGCTGAACAGTGTCAGTTAACGTGGAATGATTTGTTCAAGGCTCCAGCTCGGAGACATTAATCTTTATTATATTTGCTTTTGAGCCTGCTATAGGTTTATGCCTAACCAAACAGGAAGGCAGGTTTGTTTGGGAGGCTGCGAGCTCCTCTCATCCGAGCAGATTTGTCACAGCAATTGCACTCCACAGTGCCAGGAGCTTTAAATTCACATAGGACAGCCTGTCATTGTCTTGCAATCTGATGGTTCAACAGTGGATGTGTAGTTATACAATGCCAGTGTTTTCAGGATGTTTTTTTTTTAAGACGGCTTTGTTTGCTTTTTAACAGAAAAAGTAAGAAAGTAGGAAGATATTTTTGTTCCTTCGCCAAAACCAGGCACTCGTGGTTTAGCTGACTCTTTTATAATGTTTGAAAATGTTGAAAAGAGGGAAATAATTTTTTGTTACATGCAAGTTGTTAGCATTGAATTATTTTTCTGGGCCTTCATATTCAGGTTCTGATAAAAAAAGAATTGTGGAAATCGGTAGCCTATTTATGCCTGTTCAGAGCCCGTTTGTCATAAGTTTTTAGGATGTTGATTCCAAGGACAATTCCTGTGACAACCAATGTAGATGAAGCATCATGGGGAAAGCTTATCGAAGTCTCAGGACCTATCCAGCCTTTCCAGCTTTGGCCAGGAAAGAAGGGTGATGAGGAGAGAAGGCAGAGGGAAAAAATGGCTCTAGTTTCCAGCAGCAAGGGAAAAGTAAATCCAATTTAACCTCTCTCAGCTTCTAAGAAATGGAAACCCTTTGTGCTCCACAGAGAGTGAAAGGAAGAACAATGGGGAACCCTATTCCTCCTTAATAGGCAGCCGACGAAGAAAAAGCTAAAAGGCTGCTTCATCGGCTAAGGAAGCCAGAGATGCAGCATTGCCCCACACTAACCCAGTGTCTAGGCATTGCATGGCAGTTTGTGGCTCTGAGGCTGCCTTTGATGCAACAATACCTCCCTGTGTGTTACATGCTTTTCCTACGTTAGGGAAAAATTCTTTTAGGCAACTGATGAGATTTGCCTGAAAGATGACAACTGCTTTAAAGAGGAAGGATGGCTCTCTGGTTAAGGCTGGGAACATGGAAGATCTGGGTCCTAGTTGTGGCTGTCAAAGGAAGTTTCCTGTGTGCCTTTTGACAAGCCGCTTAGATCCTCAGTCTGTAAGTTTTTCCGCCTGTAAAATGGGATTTACAGTAACCCTCTTGCTGGGGGCGTGATGTAATCTTGGGAAGCACTTCAAGTTCCTTGACTAGCTGTTCTCTAGAGAGCATTACTTGGCAAAGTGTCCTATTATTGAGAAAGAGAGACTGGTTGCTGTTGTGAAAGATCTTCTGTTTTGAAGACTGAAAGACTTGCTATAAGACAAGTTCAGACCTAAGCTAATGCCCATGACAGATGTGCTTTGTTTAGCAAAGTACATAGCCGTGAATATAATATCTCCCCCTGCCCCCATACTTGTCTGATATCTTTTCCCTCTACTGGCAACTGGAAAGAGTTTTTATGTATTTTTAAAAGTCAGAAACTGAATGTCACCTTGCAATGACAGTGTGCGCCAATAAGAATCTGGATGGGTCATGCGGGACAGTTGAATGCCAGATATGTGCCTGGGGGTGTTGGTTGTAGCCGTGTTGGTCTAAGGACATAGGCAGACATGTGTCTGTCCCCACACCCACTCTCCCCCTCTCCTCCCATTTTGTTTCCTTCAGTTTGTGTGGCTGTCTCTACCATAGAAAGGTCCAACACTGGACTAGCAGATTGGAAACAAGAGATCTCATATGTAGGAAAACTTCTACTGAATCATTTTATAAAATTTTTCTTTCATCGGTATTATTGACCCCTTACTTGCTACCAACCAGAAACAGATGAAACCCATGTGCTGCTTCTTTCTTTATGTCTTTGACATATTCTTTGGAAAGCAAGTCTGCAACCCTATCAAATTCAGGTCTTATAACCACTGCGTCTATTATTAAACAATGAACCAAGTCAAGAGATGCCCAGACTCTCCACAGAAAGGGACTTGGAAAAGAAGGTGGAACATACATTTTTAACTACAAATATGTTTGATCTTTTGACCATGGGTATGAAACTGCTACAGAATTCAGAAGAGGGGAGAGGGAGGGAGACGCCAGCAACAAAAAAGAGAGAACTTCAGTCAAACCTTGTCCTTTTTAAAATATACCAATAAAGAGATCCAATTCCAGCATCTAGACAGGTCCATCACCTGCAGCAGCAAGGACTGCTTGTGTGAGATAGGGGGAGATGGAGTATGGATTATCTAGGAAAGTGGAGCCCAAATCCAGCCCATTCCAGAGGCTGGCACTGCAGGGCTTTGCAAATCTATGGGCTGCCCAGGATCTTGACTTCTGAAACAAATCATGTCAAAGCAAAGCAAAGCTCCAGGAGAGACCTGTTGGATTCGGGATTTCATGGAAACTCTCTTGAATGGATCCAGTGCAGCCATGACAGGTTCATGCACTGAAGTGAATGCTTTAATAAACCTTGTGTTCTGAATTTTGAGCTTGCAATGAAATTCAAAACCAGATGAGTTTCATGCAGTTTCCTTGCAAACATTTCTCACAGCTGCAGATGTAAAGTCTGCACAGTGCCTCGCTAAAATCAATTCTCTCCTGCTGCCCACAAATGTTGTGCCTCTGCCTATCTTATATCTACTTGATGGGCTTGCCTATACTTGATTTTGGCATTTACAGTTGGAGAATTGATAGCTGTGCTTTGCTTTGCCATGTATGTCTTTTAACTAAACCAGGCTCAATGCTCCCAGAATCCCTTTTTGGTGATGGCTGTTTGCTATGGGAAGGCAAACTCTGCTCAGTTATTTTGATATGAGGCTAAATTTTCAGGACTCGCACTTAAACCTTGTTCTATCTTGTTAATGGAGCATATCCAATTCAGGAAGGCACTGAGGGATGGTACATGCAGAACCCACGGTGCCATACTTAGGTTGCTCTTCTAACTATTTTAATGTAAGTTATATTCAACTCTATGTATTGTTAACAGACTGGGTTGCTGTAGCAGAGGCTGGGGTTGCCCATTATTCCCTTGCAGTATACTGGTGCACATAGGGAAGCATTTCTTCTACTGGATTTTCATCTGATGGTGTATGAAAATTTTGCTACAATTCAAAGACGATAGATCTAATTTTTTGTTTGTTTCACACCACAATAAATCATGGATAACTCCACAGAAGTCAAAAAAGACATGCTGGTATAAAACCAGAAGAAATGCAGAACCCTAAAACCCTTGGTTCAGAGATGATACCTTTTATTAGACCAACTAAGAAATTGCAAAAAAAATTATGTTGCTTTGCAAGCTTTCGGGCTCACAATCATCTCGGAACCAAGAGTTTTAGAGTTTCGCATTTCTTTTTGTCTCAGACCGACACGGCTACCAAATACATCCCTGGTATAACACCAGAGCATACTTAGGCTATTATACTCATGTCTTCTGTACCTCAGACTCTTTGTGTTTGAACAAAAGAATGAGTTTTTTGAGGATGGTTTATGCTGTGTGACTTTACACATGCAATCTAAGTACTGGCAGATGACTTCAGTCACTGTTGGTCTAAGCTGGATTTGAACTGGGAAGTGCTGGTGAGGTAACAACAAATCTATGAATTCCCCTTGTAGTGCATGCACTTGGTTACTAATTTAGGATGTTAAATGACTCTTCAGGAATGCTTCACAAAAGCTGCAGGTTCCTTTTGATGTAATCCTGATTTTGAGAGGACTTCAAATTCTGCAGGAGAGTTGTTCAAGAGACTACTGAGTGAGTGTTGGGAGCGTCCTATTGAGAGAAACAACTTAGAGTCTATTCAAACAAAAAGTGGCGAATAAAGATTTCTACCGTCAGCATGTTCAAGAGTAACGTCAGGATCAGTAGAGTTTTCACTGTCTTCATTCGTGGCGATTGCACTTTCTGTGGTCATTAGGTCTTCTAATTGGAGAAAGTCTGTTATATTGTGGAGGCTTGTGGGCAACTGCAAGGCAGGAATGTTGGAGAGAAAAGAAAGAAAGGAGAGGCAAAGTAAGACCCAGTTTCCATTTTATTTATAATATACAAAAGTTGATATCCTCACCCTCATAAGTGCCAGTGGGCAGGTTCTCCAGCCTGCTTTATATTGCTTTTACAGTACAGGAGTGAATGGCTATTTTGTATAAATAACCCAGAGATATGGTGGGGGTATAGAAAGTGAAGTATTCCCTCCTAGGTACAAGGTTTGATGGGGATGCAGCAGGATCATACTGTACTTCAGGGTTAAGGACAGACATTACACATAAATCAGTATAAATGATTGGAAACCGATTTAAATCTGTAACACAACAGAAGTTCAGTGCACATAAATCACTTTGCTGTCTTGGTTTGTGGTTTATGACCGAAAATGACCAAAACCAGTTTAAGATATACCTGGATGGACGTAGTATCAGGCTTAACTTGATTTAGGTTAAATTGGTTTATTGAACGTCTGCTCCAGATCCCCTACAGATTCAAGCTGTCTGCTTCAACTGAGCAGGGAGGCGGGCTCTAACGCCCCCCAAGCTTCTGGCCTGGGCCACTGCAGGCATGTGGCTGCATTTCCAGAATCACAAGTGAATGTCTGTTCACTTGCTTCAATCTACGCAACTTAGATTAATTTGTGAAGATTGAATCAATTCAGCCTCAGGCTTTTTGACTGTCTGTACATAGCCCAGGAGCTCCCAGCTGGGTGGCTGTTAGACTTCTCTAGTCCATAATGGGGCAGGTGCCATAAGAGGCATATGCCCAGAGAGCTACAACCAGGTGTTTTTACCTCTAATTAAAGAGCAGCTGAGAATCAAGCCCAATATTTTACAAAACAGGTGTATGAGAGAGAGTGGGAGGAACAGGCTAGTAATAAAAGGAGAGAACCCTCTAGTGAACTCTCTGGATTTCCACTGTGAATGCATGTGGATTCATCATAAGCTACATCCGCATAGGGAGGCCTGGGTTTTAGGATGCTCCCAGGGAAGTTTCCAGTTAAGAGCACAGTATGCTGCTTCATCAATTTGTAAAGTAAAAATTAAATTGCATTTTTGCTTAGTGTCACTGTGTGAACTTTTGTCATAAGGAAAAAGCAATTTTATAACTGCTTTCCACAGCAGTCCCTAGCAGCAAAATTTCAAAACATCAGCATAGAGACAGGGAAAGCAGAATTTACCAATCTTCTAGAAGTTTGCAGATCAGTTTGTCTGGTGTGTTACATCAGTTTGACATTTGCTCATCTTCACTAAAGCCGGTGGAAACACACCAAGACAGAACTACTGCACAGCGGTGCAGAGGCGGGCTGAGAATATTTTGCGCAATTCAGCAACTGTCACAAATATTTCCAGCTTTTTGCAAAGCAAAACCCCTGGCATTTGGTCAGCTTTTTTCCTTTTTTTTTGCAACTCAAGTCATGACTTACTGCTATGTAACTTTAATGGTTAAAACCATATTGACAGGTCAAAAGACAACATAGGGAATGCAGGTTCATGCTGAACTGGAGAGCCTTGGTTTAGTGACACTCACCAGAGTTGGCACTTCATCATACCATGTGTCATTCCTGTCTTTGAAATCCGTTGTTGTACTTTCTTCATCCTCTAGAACTGAGCTTGCTAAATAAAATACAGAAAATGAGTTTCAGTGTCAGTTGATCACCCTTGTCTAAATTGAACAGTCCATACATTAATACATCCAGCATGAGAGGATTTACCTCTGTTTCCATCTCTGTCTTGCTATATATGTATGTGCGCATACACTTGCAACATGTGGTGAATAAAGCCTACTTAAATCCTGATGAACTTAAATCCTGATAAACTCCTTTTCCCATCTCAACTAAATCTCTGATTATAGACTTACCTTTAAAAGAGCAGGTCTCAACTTTTTGAGATGCAAGGCACCCTACAGAAGATGCCAACTGTTAGTTTTCACAACAAAAAAGTAATAGAGCATTTCTTCTGTTGCAAAGAACTCAAAGGACACAACAGCTCCCAATGTATTTAACACGCTGGATTCCTGCTTGAAATCTCCAGTTTATCTTGTGAATCTTGTTTGCACACCTAGCCGTGCTAACACTGCATGGCACCCTTGAACGAACGGATCTCAAGGGACCCCAGGATACCATGGCACCTGGTTGAGAATCACTGACCTTGAACCTTCACGATTGCCAGCAGGTATAAGGGGACATTTTGGGGGAAATCCAAGTAGAAAACGGGCAAATCAATTTTTCAGCATTTAAACTTGTTGTTTGTTTAAACAGCAGTTCAAAATGAAAGGGTTTTTATTCTAGTCTCACATGTGTTACCCAACTCCTTGGCACAGTTCTGTCACACAGGTCCTATCACTTTCTCCCACAGACATGGCCAAGTCTGGCTGCCTTTCCAGCCAAGAGGAAAACAGAGAGAGAGAGAACAAGACAGGACAGAAAGGGCAACTACATGAAAATAGTTGGTAATTCTTAAGAAGGTCAGAAGAACACAGGTGCCATCTGTTCAGATATCAAACTTACTCATGAAACTGTGATCATCCTTCGATGCTGATATTGTTTGCAGTTTCCTGGGAGCCTTTAATTCACCATAACTAAAAAGGCTGCCACTTAAGCTGTTGCTTGGGATATGATGATGTTGCCACTTCCAAATGCCACTGTGAAACTTAACTCTATTAGTCCAAGAGCTAATAATAAGTATATGCCTGAGTTCAAAACCCAAGATAGAAACACTTCCAAACAAACTTTTGAAGAACTTGAATTTCGATTCATACTTTATACCTGGTCTCAGTCTCTGCAGCAAGCTGAACCACTCTCCATCTCCAAACACCTTTTGAAACTTTTGTTATCTGTCATCTATCACCTACTCTTTAGATTAGCTTCACATTTTATTTGTGCAGAAAGCTGATCAAAAAATGGCCCGGTCCTGTAAGGTATCTGTGAAGTATCGGTAGCACTTCCTGAAGGTCTCGGCTCAAAAGTTTTGAGTATCAGGATTTCAGGCTTTTCTGATGCAAAATGGTCAAGTTCAAAGAGGAATAAAGAAAGTTAGGCCTTGTTTTGAGCCACCAACTCAAACACTGACTTTGTAACTTTAGCTTTTTCTGCCTAGCACTAATATATACCTAGTACCTTCTTCTGAGTAGGTGAAAAACAATGAAGTTTCACCTGTACAAAGATCTAAGAGTTGGGAATGGGCACTGTGGCTACTAATTTCTTCTGACAATCAGGCCAGCAAGTGAGGTATCTAAAGCCCTCATCCAGGAAAACATTTTAAAAGGAATGAATATTTAAACATATGAGCAGCCTGGGACTCATATGAGCAGTCCAGTTGAAATACTACCATTTCAGTATGAATTTAGGTACCGAATTCTAAACGTCAGGTTTTAGAAAAGGCAGACTCAGGATCTTCTTGTGGATAGTTTTAATCCAAAGACATGCTTTAGGAACATTGTGCATCCTCTGCATTAATCATACTTGTCCTTTGCGGAGGGATACATCACGTGCAGTGAAATGGGTCCCCCTGCCATTCAGAGTTGTTGGAAGTCCCAATTTGTATTGCAGGACTTTTTTTGCCTCCTGTACGGTGGCTGAAGAGGGCAAGAGAGGAGTTGTTGAAAGGAAAGGTAAAGAGACTGAGTTTCTCCCCAAATGAACCCCAGCAACGGGTTCAAAAGTGTAAAAACCACCTGGTTACTAACCATTTTATTCTGAGCAGTGGGTATCTCTGATCCTTTCATTCCCTCCTGCACTAGCTTCTGTTCCAGTGTTTCTCTACTTATACTTGATGAATAGAATTGCTTCCATTCAACACACTCCATATCCCAATGTGATTTCCAAAGTGATAAATGATATATTGGCAGCACAGTTCAGTTAATTGTTTGTAAGCAAAGAGGACAGCTATCCACAGTGTGAGAATAGAAATCAGGGCATACTGTATTGTTTTAATATGTTTCTATAGGGGAAATAAAACATTAAGTGAGCAGTCTGTAGTGTTTAAATATTAATTTTTTTTTAATTGCACCAGTGACAACTGGGTGATCTAAGCTGCATCCTCAACTCTTGGGCATCTGAGATTAGAAATATACTGCTTTAATCTCTCTACTGAAGAAATGAGTTTATCCATTAACTTCTTTGTTTTCTTTATGAGGTTGTGCATGAATTGGAGCTGAGCAAAGGGTGGATTGTTTGGGCCCAGTATTTGAACCAAAAAATTAGAGGAAAATCAGGTCAGGTTGAATCAAAACATAAAAACATGTTTTAGTACCTTCAGACATTTCTGTCTGAAGTTATTTTTTAAAAAATATATCCAGTTCTAGTGCAACTTTATAGCATGAGACTGAGATCCCAGATGCCTCTATCAAAATCTTGAAACCAGAAAATCTAATGTTAGATTTCTAAATCCACACTTAGGGACTTAAATAGAAACTTCTATTTAGGCATCTAAATATAGACTTTAGTTACTTAAACGTAGGCACGAAGCATCTACTTAGGTGCCTCAATATGGGTTGGAGAGTCAAACTTTAGGAACCAAGTTGGTATAAATAAATGCCCTAGACAAGTACAATATGGAAAGCAAGAAAGCAAACTTCCCTTTGAGAGAGTTAAAAGGGCCGTGATTTTTCAGAAAGTGTTGAGCATCCACCCTCTGCACATCAGGCCCTTAAATGACTTCTCATTTTGCTTACCTCAAATTTCAGTCACTGGAAATCTTCACTTATTTCTAACATTTTAGCCTGCAAGATGGACTTTAATCTTCAACTTCCTTGCCTGCTGGGTCTCTCAGTTCTGGTGGTTAGTAAGGGCATTAGCTGCAATGTACTTTCCCAAGTGTGGGAACCATCCCCTGGGAACTGAACCGCGGTCAATAAGGAATGTAACACAGAAGTGTCAGCATTCACTCACTACCAAAGTAGGGTGGGCTTTGAACTTGCAGCTTGAAGACGAAAGCCTGTATTATGGTTATTATGGGAAGGATAAGTCTATTCCTAGACTTATCCTTCCCCTTCCTTTGTATTCTATGGAGAAGACTTATTTCATCTCCTCCAGCCTACTTGCTGTGAGCCAAGGCAGGCCTGCTTGACTCTACTGGCGAGCACTGCCATAAATTGCATAAATTGTCGTAACACCTTTGCCAATCACACAGATCAGGGTCTTGTTACATCTGATGCTAAACACAGAGGAGGCCTCTCTTCCAGGGAGCTTGTAATCTAATATTATTTGTGAGTAGGGAACTATCATTAAAATCTCTCTTCTACCTAATGATTTTTAAAAAAATCAAGGGCTTGATCATTTTGGCCAATCTACTTTTGGGAAGAGCTCTAAAAGAGCAAATAATGGTAGATCTGAAATGCTTCCCTAGAGAAGCTATAACCCACATATATGCATGCATGTGTGCATGTGTGTTTAACACATTTTTTCTCTTCAGACCTAAAATGGCCAACCTCCTCCTTCCCCCTGAAAGTTTAGAAAAAGAAATATTTAAAATGAAGAAGAAAGGCAAAGTTCCAGTGTGGAGTGGGAAATGCCCCGAGATGTCCATAGAGCAACCCCATCTTGGGATTTATAAAAATAATGCCATTACATTACCATTACCATGTTTGGATGACGAAGTTGTAGTTAAGCGTGTCCATCTGCATGAGCTCAGCAATATGCATCGGAAGGATCAGGTAAGGTTATAATCCCAGGCCCAACTGAAAAAATATCCCTTATACAGTACTTGGTGAATGAGTGCAGATGGAGAAAACCGATTACCACAGGGAAACCCCAAGCGGAAAGTGAAAGAAGTTTATTACAAACATAACAAGCAACCCATTCATGGAGCTAATTACACTGTTGGCATTGCAATGGCTCTAAGCTCTGAAGAATGACCTGTTCTCCAGGCACCCAAAGGAAACAATGTAAGAAAACAAAGATGTAGATCCCTAGGGAACCTCACATAGAGAGATGTGACACAGAGGGACTCTGACATAATTGGATTGTGTGCACTGAAGATTGGCAAGGTTTGCCACTGATAACCAGCAAGGAGTCCATATCTGCCCATGTATTTGCCTTATTTATCTAGTGCAGACAGAGGCTTAAAGAGTTAGATGTGTTTAGATGATCATAAAGAAGGTTGAGGGGCGCCTTGAGGTACCTGCAGAAATAGGAAATACAACATAGTAATGAGCTCTTCAGTTGGGCAGATTTAAACAATGAGGGTGGTAAACTGCTGCAACAAATAACTGAGCTAAGTGGTGGGGTGGCCATCTATTCAGTGTTCAGGTCAAGACTGGATACTTGCCTGGAAGACTCACTTTAGTAAAAAAAGAAAAAAACCCCAACAAGCTTTTTGGATTAACTGGGCCTGTGTTATACAGAGCGTCTAATAGTCCCTTCTGGCCTTAAAAACCTATGGTTCTTATGAATTGTCAGGTTTCAGTTACAAGTATTTACAATCTCACTCTAGTTATCTAAACTCCCCAACACAGGGGTTTAACCATACTCCATAAATGTCACCCTGTTTCCAGAACATGGTGACCAATCTAGTGAAACGTATTTCCCTCGTGTGCACCAAACATATTTTTGAGTCAGCACACAGCAAGGCTGGACTCCTTGAAGTTAATGGAAACTTTGTTATGAACTTCAAAG